AATACTTCGAATATAAGTTGTAGGTGATACTATTACCTATGAAAAATGTGCAATCACTATAATTTTAGCTTTTTAATAGTAATAGGAATTTATAATAAGAAATTCATGTTTAGCATTGTTTAAATGTATAGCCTATACATCCTTAAACGATGTTTCCATTCCTCTAAGAACAAAACACGGAAAGTGATTTAAAAAGTCTCAAAGTGAGCCCCGAACAAAAGAATTTGTTAAGAACGCGTGGGAAAGTGAATCCGCTGTTCCGTGTAATCGAACGCGTATCCGGCGCGCCATGCGGCGTCCTGTGTATCTTAAAAATCGTTTGGCGTACATGAGAAGTGTATCGTGTGGGTATCGAGTCGTGTTCGCATCAACGCGTCCTCGTAGACAGAAGATAAGAAGCAAGGTAGGAAGAATAATAATAAGAAGAAGAGAAAGGTTTCACCGGGGCGCGAAAGCGATCGTGTGTTACGTCGTGATGGGTGGAGCGAGGTGAGAGAAACAGAGAGGCGGCTCCCGAGCTTGTAATTATGTTGATACGAATGATCTGCCGCTCGCCGCAAACCGAGACAGAGAGAAAGAAAGAGAGAGAGAAAGAGAGAGAGAGAACGAGGGTACTGTGTGAGGGAAAGGGAAAAGGCAGGAGAGAGAAGCGAGGAGAAGATGGGACCAGGAGGGTGGAGAAAAAAGGAGGAAGAGGTAAAGAGGAGGGAGGGTAGATGGTGGAAGGAAAGAAGAGCAGCGTAAGAGGGACTGGTACAGAGAAAGGAGCCGAGGTGGAGAGAAGATGGAAAGCGCGGAATGGAACCAGGAGGGTGGAGGATCAGAAGGAAGAAGCAAAGAGAAGGGAGAAGATATGAAGCCTCTAGCGGTGTTCACCGGCTGGCTACGTAATCGTATACCGCCGCCGCAGCGTTTCCTTGTTGCGCCTAAACGAAAAGTAACTTCCTCGCCTCCTCCCGGCCGCGCAACTCTCCAGACGTGTTCTCTCCGGCTCTGCGTGTACCCGACCATACGCGTTGCTCATCCCCACGCAGCGAGTAAACGGCCTTTAGGACCGTGGCGAAACCAGTTTAAGTGGTTAAGTGTAGATGTAATTGATTTCCATTTTACGAGGCTCTCGGGGAAGCCGCTCCACCCGCCACTGCCATCACCACCGCTACCACCACTACCACCGCCGCCGTCGCTATCACCCCCACCTATATCGGCCCTCGAACGAACCACGTATGTATTTACGCACGTACGCTTCTCTTTTTCGCGGTTACCTATGCCCTTTGAACGACGCGATACGGCGTGTACTTATGATAAAACCAGTCACAAGAATAAATCCGTGTTGGTTTATTTCCCTTCTGACGAATTCACATTTTCCAAATTTGTAATCCGGAAACAGGCAAGATTAAAGAAAAATAATTTATGGTTCTTCAGTTGTCAGACAAAACACTGAATGATAATTAATAATCATTATACATGTACATCTTACTATTATTTAAGAACATTTAATGAAACCGCGACGGAGAATCTTAATGTTCTCGTAAAATGATTGAACTTATTATTATCTCGGTCAGTATAATTGTACAGAACGGGAGTACGGTGGAAATTCCGTGGAAGGTGTTCCATTTTCGCGAGCGGAGTGTGAATCGAAATTGGCCCGTTGCTGCCGCGTCACGGCCCGTGCGCGATGGTCGCTCGGCTCCGTGATGAATTGGAGGAATGA